CACAACTCGGACATATCGGCTCAATTCGGAGTCAATTTGGTGTGACTCAGACGATTCACATTGGAATTGTTCCGATACAGTGAAATTTTTCCAAAATTTTAGACAAACAACAAAAATCCAAAGAAAAGAGGGAAAAATGAAGAATGCCAATACCCATCTTCGTAAAAGCCCTAACCGGTTGCAAAAATTCAGAGGTGGTATAGAGAAGCAAAACAAAGAAAGAATGATGGAAATAAAGGAAAAATTCAAAGACCCAAATATGCAAAATTATAGATTCCAAGACACATGAAAATTAGCAATTTTGCCAAACCTACATGGTTGACATACCAGTGAATCAATAGAGTGGGCCCCATCTTTTTTGTTCTTCTTCGCTGCAAAGTGCGAACCCATGGTGAACACACATCGAGATGCCCAATTGTGAACCCATTCACAGATTCTCTCTCTCTCTCATATGGACGAAGCGTCTCACATGCGCAAATAGAGTATTGAGACTCTTAAGTCTATGACTGTGGTGGGTGACTTTTTTTAAACCTCTTTATTACTAGTTTTAACTTCTAATTATATTTTTTTTTGGGTAATTGGCCTTTGGGTATACTTTTGCCTAAGTCTACTTTTGACAAATTTACTCTTTGATATATAATTGGATATATTAGCATTTTTTTTTTAAATTTTGGGACATTTAAAATTTAATAAAAAAATTAGAAGAGATTTATATTCAGATTACTAATTTATAGGCAATGATTATGGTTGGTAAGTTCTTAAATGATTAAAATGAATATTTGTAAGAATAAATAAATATTCCTATAGTGCCCTTACATCTTTTTTTGAATTATGTTTAATGTATTTGCGGATATATTGTTACATATGATGCATGAATTATGTTTTCTATATTTTTAGAATTTTTTATGATTTTTTCAAAAAATTTGGGTCTTTTATCTTATCTTTTAAGCGCATCTGTTGATACTGTACCGCAACGTCGCGACTAATGTGTATCAGTGCCATCCGAGTTAATGACCGATACTGGAATCTTGAACCATGAATCCCCTAGTTCTCCAAGCTAGTTGAGTCATCTGTCCCATGGCTTGACGATGGTATGGGGTTGCCCTCTGTACTCCTCCATTACTATTGCTAGTCCTGATTGAGCCTTCTCTTGTTGGTGTTTGTCATCTCTGCATCTCTTCTGTATCTCTCTCTACCAATGTAGCTCTATCCACTATATCTTCATAATTTTTGATTTTTAGAGCCACTAGTTTCTCTTGAATAGTAGGCCTCAAACCCTGCTTGAACCTCTTGGCCCTTTTGGCCTCTGTGGAAACAAACTTTGATGCATAGTAGGACAATTCATCAAATTTTGACTCCTACTGAGCCACTGTTATGTTATTATGTTGCAGAGCCAATAAATTTGCACTCATCTTGTCCTTCACAAACTAAGGGAAGTATTTATCTTGAAACACTGGGTCAAATGCATTCCAAGTCATGTCATCTACATTTCGGATCATCTTCATTGAATCTCACCAGTGATCTGCCTCTCTTTCTAGCAAATAGGTTGCCAGACCGACCTAGAGATCCTCAACGATCCCCATGCTGTCACACATTTTCTTGACTCTACGGATCCATTTATTTGAATCCATAGCATTGGAACTCCCATGAAAGGTAGGCGGGAGTTGTCTTAAGAACTCCCTGAAAACCACCATCTTCTGGTTCTCGTTTTTGTTGATTTGTTCTTGAGCTAGGGTTTGAACCATCCCATTATGGTTATTATTTCCTTTATTATTTTGCACCAGAATGGTCAACTCGTGTAGACATTGATAAATTCTGTTTGTAGCATTTTAGGCTTTTTAGCAACAGTGGCGGTGGTGGGTCTCTAGCAGGATTAGCCCGGCACCCACATTCTCGTCCACCGTTCATTTTGCACACCACAATATAGTTTAGTTAGCTTAATAAAGCTATAAATACCCTCTCACGCGCAACTCATAAACAAATAATTCTCAAAAGATTCAAGCCTAAATTTCATCCGACTTATACATACTTCCCTAGTGGGTAATCCAAATGTATAACTCTCATGTAAGACCTAATTTTTAACCTCTGATACCACTATTGTAACACTCAAAAATTCACTTTAGAACGTATTAACTATCTATACAACATCTAACGTTGAGAGTATCTAAAATAATTATTAAATAATAGAAATCACTCATTACATAAATAAATAACTAAGGGCTCGTATGGTAACGTTTGCAGTTTTTGATTTTCTAAAAAACGAAAAACAGAATCAAAAAACGAAAAACGTCTTTTTCTTGTTTTTGAAAATCGCCCTTTATTTATAAAACGATGACAGAAAAAAAATAAAATAAAAAACAATTGTCAAACGAGTTTTTTTTCTTGTTTTCTCTAAATATCAAAATAAAACGAAAACATAAACGTTACTAAACGGGACCTAAATTAAATAATTCCATCAATAGAAATAAAACTTTTTGTTACATTCAAAATTAAAACAATAGTTTCCCAACTAACTACATAAAGAAATATTCCCAAAACATTGTTTAAGTTCATCTATAATTCATAATTTGAAAACTAGGAAAATGATTTCTAGTCATCCACTTTCGGATCCACCTCATGATCTGTCTTGGCATCCCAATCTACTTACTCACCTAAAAGAATATTCTCCTCAGCCAAAATCTAAAATTATATATATATATATATAGGATGAGCAACAAGCCCAGTAAAATTTTTTTCTCAAACATGATAAGGTTTAGAAATAATTAAAAGCAGGTAAGTCTCCATTTTTTTCAAAATAATATACAATACTTTTGAAGTAAAATGTGATAGTTAATTGTAAGAGTCATTTCATTTCGAACTGCAAATCTTTAGCTTTACTTTCCTCTCTTACAATCCCTCTGGGTGGTGGACCAAGGTAGTGCCTAACCCTCAGAGTTAAAGATTTGAGCCTGAGTCTGGGTTGGGAAGGTGTCTTGGGGAAGGGAGGCACCCTAGTACCCTAAAGGATAGTTTCTTTCTTATCTTAATGATTGTGCATATTAAACCTTAATGATAGGACTCAAGATTAGCTTTCTTTCCTCTGACTTTACCTACTCTGAACTCTTTTTATTGCTTGCTTGCGTATTGTGTATGTGATGCTTGAAAGCACTGTCATGATTTAATATGAATAAAGTAACTTATTCATTTCAGAACCTCTCGTTTTTCCGTGACCTTCCTTATTCTGTCCAAAACAAAAGGGATGCTATTCTACATTTCTACAACGGGGAACTTTTCAGCTAATAGCTGGTTCAACCTTTAGACTTTTTAGTTAAACCTTTCGGAGACCAAGGCATCAACTCCACTATGACCAAGACCAAGGTTCAACCACCGTGAATGAATAGTAGTTTGGTTCTCGCAGGCATCTACTTTACTACGAGTGATAGGAAACCTTCATACCCCTCGAGATAAAAAGCATCTAAACACTGTGATATAAATTGGAGTGCAATTCACATTCATTGCACCCACCCATATAAAGGATAATTTTATACTTTTTTCATAAAATCTAACAGTAACTAAGAATCATAATTTAACAACGTTCAAACAAGAATACTTCAAGAAACATGTTTACATTGATTATAGTGAAAAACTAGTGTTTTCAAATCAAGAATGAATGAATTTTGAATGTAAATCATATATATTCAAGAAAACAATTCATGTTGTTGAAAAGAATTGTTTATCTAACATATATTTAGAGATTGAAAGCATATATATATTAGCCCTAGCCTTTGTATGGATTTGGAAAGAACTTCTACTTTCAACTGTAGTTTGGTGAAACCATAGTGCATTGATTTGTTTCCTAAGCATTAATTCCTCACGATCTTGCTCTTTTTCTTCCTTCTCACGCTCTTTTGACTTCTTAGGGTTCAAAGTCGCCGAAAATTGACCTAAGGAGCGTCCTTAGGGTATTTATAGGGTTAAAATCTGGTCAGGGTTAGAATTTGTTGGTGGAAAATCAGTTGTTTAGTAGTAGTTTCAAATTATGGTGGAAAGAAAATGTGGTGAAAGTTTGGGAAGGTTAGAAGCTTGAACAAGTAAGAAAAGGTGAAGTTTTGGAATAAATAGGTGTTGGATGCTATTGGAGTCCTCACTTTTTTGATGAAAAGTCTCACTTGCACATCACTTAAGTGAGAGATTATGGGTAGTTAAGACCATACACGTGCACATCAAGTGGGACTTTCCGTTGAAGTTAACAATAAATTGGATGAAAGAGCCACATTGAGATAGATTGCATAGTTGAGGGGCTAAATTGACACAAGTTAATTTAGAGGCTTAATTGACACAAATGAAATAATATGGGGGCCATGTTGATAGTTAACTTTTTTTCCTCATTTCATTTGATATGGACAAAACTAAAGATTGACCCATAATTTTTTTTGGGGTACATTGGAAAAAGGGATTGATCCATAATTATGAAATTGAACTAATATCCCCAACCCCTAAGAATTATTATTTGGAAACTATTTCATCCACTTGCACTGGAATTACATTCTAATGGGGTTGAGAATCTGTTTTGCAAGTTAGGGAGGTCATGTATATCAGTAGTTTGTATTAATGCCAACTTCGTAGATAATTGAGGATCTCATGGAACACATTAATAAATTCTTTGTCAATGATGTTGTGACATTAGAGCATTGAGGATCTTATGGAAATCGAATCAATTCCTTGTCAATTCAAGGAAAGAATAGAAGAATTGTTGCTGAAAGAGATGGTGTAGGTTTATTGTGTAGATGATGTGTTCTTGTGGGGTACCATCTCTTTTTTCCTGCAATGCAATGATAATGATGTCTTTTTATAACTATAAACCCTTTTTTCAACCATAGTAGCTTTTTGCTATGTTCTACAACAAATAAGCAAGTGATCAAGGGGCTCCTTGGCTCAAATGCAATTTGTCTCTTTCCCTGATTTTTAATCCTACATTTTCCTAGCTTTTTAATCCTTTTTCTCCATAATCATTGAGGTTAATGACGAGGTATTTGGAGATCTATTTGATTGTTTTAGTTGAAGGCACATGCCGTCTATTAGTTAATGTGGTTTTTATGATTTTGTTTTTTTTTTTCTTTTTTATTTCTAGAAAGTACTTCAAAGATGCTAATCAAACACGTTTTTTGCCTTTTCACTTTTGCTGTTAATGAAGAAGCTAAAATTTGTCAAATTTGTATTTTGGTTAAAAAAGTAAGTTTTATCAATTGAAGGCTTAGACACAGCCTTCGGGCCCTAGATTGTTGTCTACTACATAGGCTTGTGATCACACAACCTTGGTTGAGGATACATTTTTTTTATGATAGTCATGAATCCGTTTACTTCTACTATTCACAACCCTTGGTAATAACGTGGTTTGTGATTATGATTTGGTTTGTTTTGGAATTCTTTTCATAAATATAAAACAAATGCTTTGTTGACTGTGTATAGGTAGATGTATAATTATATAGAATTTCATACATAGTGCAAGCAATTTCAATAAGAGTCCAAACACAAATTGTAACTTAAAGCGCCAACTAAGTTTACCCTTAGTGTTATTAAAAGGGCGCCTAGGCGTAAGGCAAGGTTAGGCAAGTCCAGGTTATCTCAAGTGTCCAAGGTGAGGCTTGTTTTTCTAAAGTGACGATTAAGTGCCAAATGTGAGCACTTTACGCTTAGTTGAAAAGCGACAACGCAAATGCTTTTGTGATTTTTTTATTTTGTTTGGTGAAGAAGATGATTTCGAAGTCTTCAAGATTTTTGGAAGCATTGACCAAATATTTAGTTGCTTGACTTGTGTGTTTTATGTTTTCAAATGTTAGGATTTAGAGTATTATTAGGGTATTTTTTATTTTGAATATTTATTTTTGGTTGTCATTAAGATTTGAGATATTATTAGTGTTTGTTTGAATTTACATGGTTATGCTGTTGGTTGCCCTAAATATTTGAGATATTATTGGTGTTTGTTTCAATTTCAATGTTTATTCTTTTGGTTGCATCTTGACCTTTAATATTTGAACAATTGGAACTTGAATATTTAGTAGCAACTAAACTAAAATATTTGTCTAGTTTTTATACTATTTGCCTTGTTTCAATGAAGCTCTTGATTTGCCTCTCATTTAGGCCTCAGGAGATCTTTTTTTTTTTTTTTGTGCGTGATTTTTTTTTTTTGGGGGGGGGGGGGGAAGCTGAAATTTTTTTATTAAGCAAATGGGTG